CTTGATATGTATGTATGTATATAAATGTATATAAATATTCAGTAAGCATATGAAAATATTATCACCACCATGAATCATCAGGAAAATGCAAATCAGAGCCATAATGAGATACTACTCACCTGCTACTATGGCTAGAATAAAAACTTCAGATAGCAAGTTTGGGCCAGGATATGAAGAAATCTAAATTCCCACTGCCATTATGGATGTAAAAATGGTATAGTTATGTTAGAAAACAATCTAACACTTCCTCAAATGACTAAATATATGGTAACATATGGCTTAGTAATTTCATTTCTTAGATAAAAACCTAATAAAAATAAAAATATACACCCACACAGGATCTTACACACAAATGTTTATATGGACCTTATTTGTAATAGTCAAAACACAGAGCCATTTCAATGTCCATCAATAGACATGAATAGGTCAAATAATGCTTACAAAAAGAAGAAATCAAGCACAATGAATTTCAAACTTCAAATTGAGGGGTTCTTTCATAACAGTATGTACATCTGAACCACGCCATAGATTAAGCTCAGCTCCCACTTGTATCTGATCAACAGGCCAGAAAAAGTAGACTTTGAAACATGAAATGGGTCACTGAGGACAGAGATATCATGGACAGAGAAATAATGGTACAGCAATTCTGTTCTCAGACTCAGCTCATCGTGGATGACAGTGTAAATGCTCATTATCTACAAATGCTTCTATAATGTTATTGGGGCTAGATTCCAACTAGATGGAGAGAGTATTCTTAAACCAGTAAACAAAAAAGAAAATTTATTGAAAAGATGCAACATAAAACCTAAACTCATTTTTATCAAGACTATTGTGAGGATTAAAAGAAATGATCCATTAGAAGAACTTAACATGGGGAATGGAGCATAACAAATGCTCAATACATTTTAATAATTTCATCAAAGCTGAATTTGATGAGTGCCTAATTGACTTATAAATACACTGTGGCAGCAATGAGAGGAATGATTTTAAATATTACTAAGGTGGTTAAGAAAGACCTTAGGGTCAGTAATATTTGCACTTACCTTTAAAGAGAGACAAAGTAACATAAGAGGAGACAACTTCACATATAAAAACATGAGGGGAGATGTACAGTAAAATTAAGGAATATATTTAATATAGTCAAAAATAATGATTGATAAGACATCCTCATACTTTCTAATTTATTTTCTATTCTTTAGCAATAAAATCAATATGATTATTCTCTCAGAAATCTTTCTGATGAAATATTTACTGTGTACTGCTGTTTAAGTGAATTAAGTGCTCAAACTAATCTAAATTATATGAGTAAAAGAATAATTTAGAAAGATACAGAAGCAAAATGAGACAGAGGGAAAGAGAAATGAAAGGAAAAAGAAGAAAAAGAGGAAAACAGGGAGGGAGGAAAGGAGAAAAGGAGAAAGAAATTGGGTAGGTAGGTAGAGAAATGTACATGATTGGCTTATTAGATTCTCAGTCAAGAGATAATTATTCTTCTTCTTGCTCTTTTGGTATTAGGCTATACCTGGTAAGAGACTCTTCTACTCAATAGAAGGAAATAACTGAGGGGCTAGGGATTTAGTCTGCAGACTGCTTCCCAAGCACAAGATCCTGAGTTCTATCCCTGGTACCAGAAAAAAAAAAGAGAGAGAGAGAGAGAAAGAAGGAAATAAATGAAACTTATTTTATGACTCTCCAGGTCTTTATTAATAAGTATCAAATTTCAGACTTTAACTCCCTGCTTCATTTACTGTAAGTGAACCTTACTACCTAGCAGGTGCACGCCATTTTTTACTTTATCTATGCATTTACATACATATGAGCATTTTTATTACTCAGCAACTTGCTTTTGTAACATAATAATGTATCTTTACATCACTTAAAGTCACTGTCTAGGTTATTTATTTTAACTAGTACATATTACTCCCTTTTATGCATGCATATTTTATTTAAATGCTCCATTGTTGTGGTACATGAATGCTGTGCCAAACTCACTGTTTGGCTTTCCAAGAATGCTGACATAATAAAATTGTGAACACACATATATTTATATAGGTATACATGTATATATAGTACTAGAAAGTACTACTGCTGGGATACTAGATTCTATCCATAGATAAACTTAGAAATATTGTAAGTCACAGTACATGAATCTTGTTGATGTATACTAACAAATTTTTCTCTAATTGACTGTAACCATTTCCTTTCCAAATAGCCACTTTCAAAGATGCATAACCGTCTCATATTTGGCAGCATATGATGTCGCAATTTTGTGTTAAATTCTGATATTAATTTACATTTCTCTGATCATAGACTAAATACTTGATATTTGTATCATTCATCTAAATTTACATCTACAAATCCTATCTTTTTAAAATTTTGTTGGTTTTTGTTTTTTTGTTTTTGGTACCAGTGATCAAACTTTGGACCTTGGGCTTGCAAGGCAGGCAGCAGAACCACTGAGCTAAATCCCCAGCCCTAACA